GGCATGCACCCCCGGGAAATTTTGAAATCTAGGGTCCCTGACTTGCAATTTAAAGCATTTTGGGAGTGAAATCTAGCAGAATTCCGAAGATTATAAAGTACATTGAAGACATGAATTTTTCCAGACATCTCTACTCGGAATGAAATAAATTGGAAAAGTCACCTTGAAAAATAGGAGGAGGGGTCAGTGTCACCTTATTTCCTCTCTGTGATGCTTAGGTTCTATGAGACACCATTTCCGCATTCTCAAAATTGCGTTGTTTTTTCATACGATACAGAATAAATCTGAGAAGAAATTTTCATGCTATGATGATGCATACATGTATTTAACAGTTAAAACTCTAAACTAAATCTATTCTTCTTGGAACCAGCATTTTATCGGATTGTTTGCATGAAATCTATCGCTATATTGAAATACTCGGTGAAGAACAATATGAATTACACACAAGATAGCTGTGCAGGAGGCTATGGAAGGGCATAATCTCATCAAGTAAATCAACTGCAATTCTGACAGCAATCATGAGCAATTCCGCTTCGCACTTCGGGGGCAGAAATGGCTTTACTGGGGGGGGGGCAAATTCTTTCCCTGGGGGGGGGCAATTGCCCCCCCCCCCCAGATATATAGTTAAAAAAGGCACTGTGTAAATTCGCATAGAACAGTTTCAATCATATGAAACGTATATAACTTTACCGTCAACAAATTTCCATTGAGGAACGCCTTTAATTTTTTCTGTACAAATCAGCAATTTCAAACGCTCAGTTCTGTCTTTATGGTTGAGGTGTTGCCCAATGTTACACTTGGAAAATTTCTGAAATGTAACCATGCGAAACAAAATGACTAGGTCATTGCCCAGGTATACATGAAGTGTAATATTTTGCATGGCAAAGTCATGAATTATGAACTATGAAGCTGAATATAGAGAATCGTTTTCCTTTTCAACAGATTTTTGGGTAACCACGCTGATATTGCTGACTTACAAATTCGCATTAGAAATTCAGTCGGCTCGCTTATTTATGGCTCAGTTGCAATAGCAGTGGTTAGTTACTGTGTTTCCTCGAGTTTCATTTGTCTGGTTTAAAACCGTGGCCTCCGACACATAGGCGGCGAGGTGGGAAGGTATGCCCCCCAGCCCAAATGTTGGCCCCGTCCAGTGACCCTCCCCCTCTGCCAGTGAAGGTCCCTTCTGTGTAAAATATAAGTACAAAAGGAAAGAATGTCTTAGTTAAGTTAATTAAGTAATATATCAAAAATTGTTTGTATAAAAATGCTGAAAATCAAGGCCCAGAGGCTCAAAAATACAAGACCCACACCCGGTCACACGTCCTACTTTTTCTGTTCAGCAACTCCAAGTTAGGATCCTCTTTCGGCCCTTTGACTGACCAATTCTTAATTCAAATTCTGCTGTATCTTCACCTCATTGACATGTCAGAAAAGTACTTGTAATTTGATTCCACAAAACACTACGGGTTTTCTCCAGGAGCACATATTCCTGTTTTCTCATGCAGTTACATTTGAGGCCAGTAAAACGTGTCTCTATACTGTATACCGTCCCAAGAAAGAGAACTTTTTAGGAATAACACTGGGAGGAATTTTTTCCAAATTCTTATAACTATGGAAATAGTATGGAAATCCAATTTTCATACAAATCGTATTTTCCATATACCATGGATGTAGTATGGTAATAGTATGGATATACTATGGATCTAGTGATGCAATCGCAAATTCCATAGTATGAATTTCACTCAGCTTTTTCCAGTGTAAGTTATATTGATCAAGAAAGATTAGGCATTTCGGATTATATATGCTGCATATTTAATTCCCTATTACGCTCAGAATGTGGAATTAATTATTAGTAATATTTATCTTACTGCTGAAGGAACTCAATAATCTGGGTCAACACACTTAACAGTTGTCAAGTTTCATCGTACAATATCCAAACACGGAGATTAAGATATCTTATGTGGTGAGGCTTATGCCACGTTTCAAATTATTTTAGCCATACTCATTGTTGACTGTTTCTTCTTGTATGAAGCTGCTGTATGGTTCAACTCTTTTCATTGAAATGTTCCTTCATTCTTGCCAAAGCGATCACAGCAGATGTGACGAGGTAGCCCAATTTGGCAACTTGTAAAAAAGTATGTTTGCTTCTGAAGTGAATGCAAACTTTCAGAACAATTAATAAAAGGTCGCTGATGCACTTCTTATAGGCCCGTTTTATTAAGCTTCATTATGTATTGTTTGAATTGCATTCGACGCGACCGAAATTCGACGTATAAAACAGGCCTTAAATACACTGCTGATATACTCGGTTGCCTTTCTTGGAAAACTCTATACAATATACATTACACTTATAAAGACTCTACATATACATGCAGGATGTCCAATAAACGTCCCCCACTATATGTTTTGTGGTATTACTATGTCGGTATTGATGTGAGTTACATATTTTTAGTAGGCATCAAGTCTGAGTGGAGCATGCATGTATGGATAAAATCATAACTAACCGCATGTTCGCTTAACCGCATGCGGTCATGCTCTCATTTGCGTACGGTAAAACTCGCCTAAAAGGAACAGTGGGTTAAGAAGCAACAGCCTGACATTTAGCAAAATTAAGCACCCAAAATACAAGGATCACTTCAGGCTGACGAATAAGACTGATTCTCAAAAAAATCCTCTAGAATGCATGTTCTAAGTAAGGGCAGGCCGGTACCATTGCAAATGGAAAAGCATATAATCTGTTGTTGGGTATACTCATGAGGAAACTCAGAAACTTTTAAATAGCAATCATTAGACGACGTGTATAATACTGATCAACAGTTTGTATACTAATTGGAGAAACAAATAATTTAAAACACCAAACTATAGGAACAATTGTTTTCCACTTGAAATATAAAGAACCAGTTTTAAGAACCAACTTAACCCGATTTCCGTCACTAAATACCCGAAATCACGTAAATCGCCTGACATAAAAATAGTGGTTCTTTTATACGCGGGTTTGTGGGACACCCTGTATATAAATCATTTTCAAAGTTTTTTTATATTTTATATTTGTTATGCTTTCATGATTAACACACATGCATGTAAAGTATAGTTGTGCGATACATATGTTTGATCGATCCCATGCATGGGCAGCAGTTCTCCAAAACAGTATAAATAGCGTCATGCATACAATTCACAATCGTAATATGCGCAGTAATATAGAGAACCTGCTGGGCTTAAATTTTGAAAAAATATATAAGATATTTTCCCAAATGTATGCACCTATCATCATTTTAGTATCAACTACCTTGTCGCTTTGCGTTAGACCACTAGCCAAGCTCAGCCAGGCTGAGAAAATCAGGATTTTCAACAGAATCTTCGCGGACATCATTTTGTAAATTTCGTCTCCAAGCAAGTTCTGTTTTCTTCCTTCAGCTCCTTGAGACGTAATGAAAGCATGTACCTATTGCATTCAGTTTTAGTGTGCACGCCTCTTGACAACTTGTCAAAAAAGGCATTTTGACAAAAACCAAGCACAGGGACAGCGCTAGACCTCTTTGAATCCCGGGGGGGGGGTGTAAGTGAAGTTTTGCCAAGTTATCAAGGCAAATTTTGCGGAGTCACAAATTTTTTCCGACGACATATTCCTCAATCTTATCGATCTTGTGTTTAACCACCGTTCTTCGCTTCATTTCCCCCTAATTTTTTCATGCATGGATTTCTCCACATTTTAGCTATCATTCTTAATTTTTAACCGGTGTAGCTCGGCTATTCTACTTTTTCCTTCCTATCCAAATCCATGTTTTGCCGACTTGGGATTTAATATTTTGCCGACTACCTGATGACTGG